TTCGCCATCGCTTTCCTCCCAAGGAGCAGGCGTCTTTTAATTTCATGGCTGCTGTCACTGTCTGCGGTGATCTGGGATCCCAGGAACGTGAAGTCTGTCACGGTAGCTTAGGAGAATGTAAAAGGAACTCCGACAGACTCAAGGAGGCTGGGTCTAACAACAGGAACCACCCATGACACTGATACTAAATCTCTGCATTTGGAAGCAAAGGACCTCTGAATATCAGTCGGCGTGGGGCACACAACGGCGGAAGGTTGGTACCCTCATGCCCTGCTTGTGGGCATCACAGAATTCCTGACTAGCCAGTCTGGGAAACAGTAGAAAAGTTGAATTCTTGATCCCTGGCAGAAAGGTTCTCCTTTTGTAACATCTCCATGTAGATGGAGCTTACATGAGTATCCCATCTTGGAGCGATAAGTTAACATCTAGAGCACCGCACTTTATTGATTGATTGTTTTATACTGTTTTAATTGTTTGTTATGGCATTTGCCGCTGTTGGAAGCCGCCCTGAGCCCATTTGGGGAGGGCGGGATACAAATCTAATAAATAAATAAATACAGGGCCAGTGCAAATATTTGTTGTTGTTCAGTCGCACAGTCGAGTCCGACTCTTCGCGACCCCATGAACAAGATCCCGCCAGGCCCTCCTGTCCTCCGCTGTCTTCTGAAGTTTGCTCGTTGCATCTATGACACTGTCTATCCACCTCATCCTTTGCCGTCCCCGTCTTCTTTGACCTTCAGTCTTTCCCAGCATCAGGGAGATCCCTTCTCATTGGGTGGCCAAAGTATTTGAGCTTCAGTTTCATTATCTGGCCATCGAGGGAACAGTCAGGGTTGATTTCTTTTAGGATTGACTGATTTGATCTTCTTGCAGTCCAGGGGACTCTCAAGAGTCTTCTCCAGCACCATAGGGCCAGTTTAAAGCCAAGCTTTAAACCTTAAGTCAGGGATAGGCTCAAACCTAGTAATGGTGTCCAATATACACACTATGTATAATACTTCTGAAGTATTTATTTTGAAATAAATACCTTTCTGAATGAATCCAAGCAATGATACACATGCCAATGCACCATATTAACTGGCTGATATATTAGTCTCTTTTTTTTTTTAATGGCAACTTGTTCAAGAAGGGCACATCCCGCTGCATACATGCTGAGGAGACTCTTCCCATTTTTAAAAATCCCATACATTACTCTGGAAGACAGAAACATGCCCGCTGCCTTTTATATGTTTAGAGTTTGACTTGTCACATCCCAGGACCGTCACCACACACTCACTGCACTGGCACATGAACAGAAGGTTGCTAAATCTGAAACAGTGTCGCAAAGCACCGATTATATTAAGAATGCATATGAAGAAATGTATTTGACAATGGCAAAAGCCGAACTTCCTTTACCTCCCCTATTGCTACACCTCTTCTTTTCAAATAGCTGTCCTGTTGCAGCACCCGTTTGCCATACCCAGTTAGGAGCTGTAGATTCAGGATAGCCAGAAGAATGACAACATGAAGACACCACAAGCCAAAGCAGGTTTAAACGAAGAAATAAGAGAAGATAAAACCTATGATACTCCACCCATAACTAGTTTAGCATAATTAATGGTCTCTGCATTTCTTCCGGATTAGATCTGAATTGCACATAATTACATTTAACGCTGTACTTTCTGCATTTTGTAATCCCTTGACCCTGCTGCTTGCTTGGTTGCCCCTCCCCCACAGACTAATTTTAGGTGCTTCCCTAGAGCGCCCCCTGCTGGCGGGCGGCAGAATGGCATGCTGCTGCCTGGCCCGACCCTTCCCCTCCCTTGCCTCAAAGCTCTGCCTGTGCAGTGCGCTGTGCACGCCGCTCCACTCGTCCACTCGTCGCCTGGCTGCCTCTGTGCCTCAGTGCCTGTGCAGCCAGTGCTCTTCGTTTATCGTCGGTTGCTGCTGTCTCGCCCGGCCAGGCCAGGCCCCACACCACCCGCCAAACAAAAGCCCTGGGGCTGTGCACTGCTCCACTCGTGCACGTGCTGACATATGTAAAGTATTTCACTCTACAGTTTGCAAATCCAGTTGCACAGAACTGCCTCTACACTCAGGGTTACTCATTCCACTATGGGGCTTGTCATTCCATTCCCAGAGCACTCATCCTACCCCCAGGGGCTGTCATTCCACTCTGTGGACTCTCATTCCAGTCCCAGAACACTCCTGTTACCACCAGGGACTATCAATCCACTTTTGAGCCTGTCCTTCCATTCCCAAAATACTCCTGCTACTTCCAGAGGCTGTCATTCCACTTTGTGGTCTTTCATTCCAGTCCCAGAACACTGCTGCTAGCCCCAGGGGCTGTCATTCGTGGTCTCTCATTCTAGGCACAGAACACTCCTACTACCCCCAGAGGCTGACATTCCACTCCGTGGTTTCTCGTTCCAGTCCCAGAACACTCCTGCTACTTTCACGGGCTGTCATTCCACTCCGTGGTATCTCGTTTGACTCCCAGACCACTCCTACTACATCCAGGGGCTGTCATTCCACTCTGGGGCCTGTCATTCCATTCCCAGAACACTCCTGCTACCCCCAGGTGCTGTAATTCCACTCCGTGGTGTCTCATTCTAGTCTGAGAACTCTCCTTCTACATCCAGGGGCTGTCATTCCACTGTGGGTCCTGTCATTTCAGTCCGAGACCACTCCTACTACATCCAGGGGCTGTCATTCCACTCTGAGGCCTGTCATTCCAGTCCCAGAACACTCCTGCTACCCCCGGGTGCTGTTATTCCACTCCGTGGTCTCTCATTCTAGTCACAGAACACTCCTGCTACCCCAAGGGGCTGTCATTCCACTCTGGGGCCTCCCATTCCAGTTCCAGAACGCTTCTGCTACCCTCTGGGGCTATCATTCCACTCTGGGGAACTATAATTCCAGTCCAGTGGGCGCATTGGGGGGGGGGGCGCCAGAAGGCAGCCTAGCCAGGTGTGCAAAAAACCCTGGGACCGGCCCTGCTCCCCCACCTCCTCCATAAAATGAATGTAGTGATAATTCACTCACAGGGTCTGAAGACTGTAGTCCTTGAAAGCTCACACTGGGGGGGGGAGCACTTCTCAACATTTTTAAGGTGCCCCAAGTCTTTTTTTTTTTTTGGCAACAGATTAGCATAGCCACCCCTCTATGAGGGGTGCATCAGATACCACGGCTGATTTCTTCATTAACCTCCTGTCCTGAGACAGTATTACGTTCTGAATTACAAAAGGAATTCCAAAGTCCGGAGACAAAGAGTTATTCAGTCATATTATGCAAGTAGATCCACTGTATGGTGCACACCCTGGCCAACAACCACTGCACCAGCAAGACAGAGTGATCTATACCAGAATGATCAAAGTTCATGAACAAACTTACTTCCACGTTGTCTCTCTCAAAAAAGTTGTGTTACACAAGGTTCACACATGCTTGCTTTGTGCAGCCCATGTTACCTGCAGACCCTGTGCCCCACCCACTCCCCCTATGCTATCATTCAGATTCTCAGGGCATGAGCTGAAGGCTCAGGTGAACTAAATCACAGCAGCACATAAGCAGACATGTCCTAGTTTCCCCAGCAGAGTTCAAGATTATCAGCTTTGCAGCAGTCTGCCAGTGCTCTTGGCCACAGTAGCGGGTGTGTGTAGGGGGAAGGAAATAGGGAAGGCAAAGGGAACGGGCCCCCCCGAGAGGTAGCTGCAGTGAGACGGCTGCTGTTTTAGTTTGGGCACCAGGGCTTTGGGAAATGATGCAAGTAAGGGCCATTTCCCAACCCTAACATCGTAAGCCAACATAGATTTGCCATTCACGGTGGGAAGCTGCAGGCCAACCCTGGCTTGCTAGGGCAGGTATTTCTGTGACACATACCTCAGTTATGTTAAAAATAATGAATCGGAAGTGACTGTAGGGCAGTGGTGGCAAACCTCTGGCACGGGGTGCCAGAGGTGGCACCAATGTTCCCTCTAAGCTGTGGAGTCGTGTGAGCAAAAATGCTACTTTGTGAGCTCCTGGCATTAGAGTTGTGAGCGAGCGATTTGGCTGCTGCATAAATTAGTTTGCTCTGGAGCCCTCCCTTCCTGAGCTAAGACAAACTCTGTGAGCCGGAGGCTAAAAAACCGTGAGCTAGCTCACACTAACTCAGCTTAGAGGGAACACTGGGTGGAACTCAGAGCCCTCTCTGTGGGCACGCGTGCCATCGCCCCAGCCAGGCCCAGACCATCATTAAAGGGTAGAATTTCCCCGCCAAATAATTTTAAGTTCATGAAAGCATTTGGGATTGCTTTCCTTACCTTGTTTTGGATCATCTTAAGTTAATATATGAGTTGTTTTTTTCTAAAGTAAAACCTCAGCATTCAGGTTAGATTGCCCTGTTGGCACTTTGCGACAAAAAAAGTGGGTTTTGGGTCGCGGTTTGGGCCAAAGGTTCGCTGCCACTGCTGTTGGGAAACACTTCCCTGCCATCGCAGGGCGTTCAGGACCGCCAGCCCTCCCCAAGGGGCAAGAAGCGCCCTGCGGGGGCCCAGCCTGCCACTGGCAACCGACGATGGCAAAGGGGGAAACCCCAAGTGGGCGCGACTCACTTCCCCTGGCAAAGGGGCCACGGAGGGAGCCGCTACGAGCGTTGCACCCCCCCC